AGATCAATAAGCAGATACATATACATATTTTTTAGAAATAATATTTTGCTAAACAGTTGCGATACATATATTCATACATATTCACAAATTATATTTCTGCTGTATTGATGAACAGTGATTAAAATGCTGTTTGTATTATTCCTTTCCACTCAGCAACCTCTCCAGTTTGAACTGCATATGAATGTATCTGGAAATATATAACTTGACATGATAGGAGAACTTATTAGATTGATTGTACCTGAGAGCAACATGAAAGGGGATATGAGTTTACACTTAGAAAATTAAATAGATATAAAATATATGGGTTAAACTTAGAAGACAGATGAGAGCAATATTTGATATAGAAAATATATAGTCAGTATATAAGATTGATGTAAAGAGTAGAGTCAGACACATGAAAAAAAGCATGGAAAGAGATAAGAGTTATTATAAAAACAAAAGATATTCCTAAAATGTGGAAAAAAAACCCATCTAATTCATGTGGCTTCTTGGACAATGAAAGCCATGGGTAAAAAAAAAAGGTTGATGACTTCTAGTATCAAGAAAGGGTAAGAAAAGAATGAGATAAATATTAAAGGTAAGAGATAAATCAGAACAATTATATTTATTTATCACATTTTTATATCACTGAACAATGTATAAAAGTTAGATATTCTTCTAAAGAAGCTTTAGAATGTCCAAAAACTACTATAAGAAGAAAGGTTGAAGAATCAGAATGGTCAGAATGAAAAGGAAAATGAGACAGGATGCATATTCTCAACAGACTTGTTTATCTGAAATAATAAATAAGAGAATGGAAGGCTTGGAGTAGGTGATGGCAGAAATTAAAGTAAGAAGCTAAAATCTTAATAACTTGAGATCTGTTCCAAACAACACTTTGTCAATTTAAAGTGAAGACTTAGAAAAGGTCATTATCGAAAATAAAACCTGGCAAGTGAAAAATCTGAATTATGTATAAGATAAATATATTATTTTTCTTTCTATATTTCTTATGCTAAGAAGACCAAGTTAGTGTTGATTAGTATTATTTACTAAACTTATAATTGATAGCAAAGTATTGGCAGTAGTGGATACTAAATATTAGTGTGTTGTCGTGATAATTTCCATCATTTACATAATGTGACTTCAGTTGCATACTTTTGCATCATTATGTAAAGTTGACCTACTGTATGCAAAAATATTTGCTTCCAGTTCTACTAAATCAAGGTTTTTCTTTCTTGAATTCATGGATAGATAAAGATGGAGATAGTGTTGGAGAAATAGAGAAATCATAAAGGATAAGGTGATTTATTTGACAACAAAGACCAAAATAGTTGAAGCAGTGGTTTTCCAGTGGCTATAGAAAGAAGACAAATGGAAAAAAAAGACATCTTCAGATTATGGATAAGAGATGACAGCTAAGTACTATGGACCTCAAGAACAAATCAATGAATTCTTGACCAAATAAGACTGACTTCTCCACAGAGAAATGATTAGAAAGCAGAGATATAGGCATGTAATGTTAGCACCAGAAAAAAAAATACTATGCTTGGCAATGAAGAAGAATAGGTAATGTGGTGGAATGTATAAAAGAGGCTACAGAAATTGCTGTGAAACAACTACTAAGGATAAGTTGAAACAACATGTAGTCACCAGAAGTTATACTGAAATTGATTGACCCTGAGAGAGGAGAGGAGAATATCCTTATAGATCTCCATCATCTTGTCTCATATGGCATGCCAAAAGCCATTTTGATCTAGTGAACATAAGTCGTGTTACGCAAATCAAGAGCCAGTTCAGTGTATTGGTTAAAGTGATGGCCTAGAAACCAAGAGACTATGAGTTGTAGTCCACTTTAGACATGAAAACTGGCTGGGTACCTTAGGCCAGTTACTCCCAGGGTTATTGTTGTGGGGAAAATAGGAGGAGAAAGGAATATTATTTGTATTTGCCTTATGATTATTAAAAATGTGATTTAAAAAGATAAAAAATCCAAGGCATTTTTTGGAAAAATATTCCAACATTTGTAACAAAATAGTATTAAAATAAGTAATTTTTTTAAAAAGTAAAGTATATCCTTCCAAATTGGAAAGTTTTATGGATAATTTTGTCTCCCCCGCCAAGAGAGAGAGAGAGAGAGAGAGAGAGAGAGAGAGAGAGAGAGAGAGAGAAGCTCCATGAGAAGAAGTTTTTATTAAGCTGTCACACTATATTTTGACAGGATGCAAATTTAGCATCTTCTATTCCCAACAAGTTGATTTCAAAAACTCATTTATGAGAGAAACTTGTGGTTAAAATCAGCAGTTTGTTGTTACAACTGACAAGAATTGATGAGGGTGATATTAGAAATATGGCAGGTTTTTCTTTGTGTAATTCACTAACTCCTCTGTCCTCCAAATAAATCTGGTGATTTCTAGCAAATCAAATTTCACTGTCATTTATAGTTTGTGGTAAAGGAGGAACCAAAATTTAAGTCATTGAAAATGATGATGCTATTCTGAAAATAATAAGCTTAGGTGAAATGGTTTCCAAAGGAGACTTTGCTTCATATTTGTATTAACTCCATCAATTTATCTAGCTGTAAATTCTCAATTACAAATTACCTCATAATTTGAATTTATAGCATGTAATTTCTATGCATGTTTATCTGGGAATATGTTTCATTCAGGTCTATAAGACTACAAGACATGTATGTACAGTACATAAGTATTTTGTATGTAGATATGACACATTTAAGTATATATGTATTTTGCTTTTTCCAAATTTGGAAAGGCCCAATTTGGGTGGCTTACAAATTAAAAGCAAAACAAAATAAAAAGCAAAGAATATCAAGAAAAAGAAGCCAACTGATTGGAAGAGAGAACAAAAAATACGAAATAGCAAAAAGAAAAAGAGTAAAATAAAATCAAAGGGCTTCAACTATTATAACCCAATAACTGCTTGAGAGAACACCTATGTCTTTTAACAGTTTGCAGAAAATCAAACAGAAGAACCATGAATCTATGGGGAGACGATCATTCCCCTGTGCTGAAGCCATCACTGAGAAGCCATGCTTCTCAGTTTCCTTAAGATAATGCATTCATATTTTTTTTATTATCTGGATAGCTTACAAAAACCCAAACCAATAAAAACAATTAAAAACATAATATAACATGGACAACCTGGACTAAAACAAGCAGGACAATAAAAAGAAACTACAATAGGGAGCCTCTAAACATAGTATCCCTTTGGATCTGGACCAGAGTAGGTATAAAGGACTTTCTGGAATTACAGGAGACCAAAGAAAGCCCACTCTGTCTGACCTCATCAGATAGGTAAACACATATAGAGTCAAGCCACTCCTCAGGTAACCAGGTTCTATGTTGTGCAAGCTTTATAGGTGATAATCAACACTTTGAATTGCACCCAGAAGCCAACTTGCAAACAGTACAGCTCATGAAGCAGTGGGGACATATGCTCATACTATCACTGTTCATGCCATTGCACTCTAGTTATATAGCTCCATGTATAATGTATTATAATAATTCAGTCAGGAGAGACCAATGCATGATTGTCTATCTGAAGGGCCAGGTAGCTTTAATCCTCCAAGAGACACCTAATCTAACAGGTGGCCAAGTTTACATTCTGGAAGATCTTATCCACTTCCTCAATAGCCACAAACTCACTACAGATAATCTTACAAGCCATACCTCAGGCACATCATCTGGACCTGTCCAGTTGGAGTTCCACTTCAAATAATTCCAAGGAACAAAAGCTAAATTATAGACAATCCTGGAATATTTAGCATTTTCTCAACTCCCAGTGATGTTAAGATAAAGTTCAGCAGTTTTCATCTTCATTTATTATTATTATTTATATGCAATAATGGATTTTCAAAATTGAGATTATGATTTTTCTAGATTATTTTGGCACTGATAACCCCAGGACATACTGCTTGTCACTTTGGTTCTACAATTCTGCAATAAGGCATTTAAGATAAATTGACTGTATCGGTTGATTTAAATAAAGCAAAATTAATCATTTTAAATGCTTTGTAGGGAATCATTGTCTTAAGACTGGTTGTTTAACAACTTTTTGGAAATATGATGGCCTCAATGTATGATGGCCTTGGAAAGAATAGCTTAGGGCATAAAACATATCCAGCCATTGTACTGTGTTGCACTGCCCCATCAGTAGTCACGTGAATATATTTTGGATGCTTGGCCACCCACTGTTATTACCAACTGCATCATCTTGTGGTCACCTATGATTTTTACCATTTTCTGCTGCTTTCCAGCATTATTTGCCAGTTTGTATTTGGATATGGATTTAGGGTTATGACCATGTGGTCATAAGTGAATAAGTGAATCATGTGATTCACTTTGGAACCACTGTAAAAATGCTTAACTTATGCTTGCCCTAGCCAACTAAAATGAAAAAATACAGTTTTAAAGGATTTTGGGTGTCCGTGTGTGTGTGTGTGTATAACAATGAGCGAACAGCACCAAATTTAAAGTATATGAAGAATATAATGTATTTTTCAATCTAACAAATCTATAGTTTTTCCTCCATAAATCTTTTACTATGCAGGTGTTTACGTCTACATGAATCATCCCATGCTTTCTAAAAACAAATCAAGTATAAAAATGAGAATTCCAAGGCTCCACAGTTTGCACAAAGTGACAATCATTACAAATATGTCAACAAATTATTAAGGGAAAGGGCCCAGTTAGTGATATCACAATTTCTCATTAAGCACAGAAAAAGCAGAATAAACATCCTTTATGATTTCAATTTCATAAATGCACTGTTTTATTATCATTAATGAAAATTGAAACAACAGGTAGTAGAAAAGTTCCACTGACCTTTTCAGTTTTGCACTGCCAGTGGTCTCTTGAAGGATGGTTAGATGTAGATTTGGAAAATCCATCATTAAGAATGGCTGACTGGCAAGATAATTACTAGAATCATGACAGATATACTCAGTGTAATGCAACAGCAACCATAACAGCAACCAACACTCTTCCCTTCATAAAATAAAATAAATAAATCCAGTAATCCATGAAGGCTGCTCCCTGTCTTAGATTGCAAGTGGATAAATCTTGAGAGGCACTGATCATCCAAATAATATTTTGCTTTAAGCTTTCTGCAGAGTACGATGGATGCCTAGAATATGCCAACATTTCCTGGTTCAGAAGATTCTTTGTTCCAATAAAAGATGAAGGAAAAAAATGGTTTATCCACAGATCAAACACAATAATTGTAATCCCATGGCTGCTGGGGGGGAGGGAATAGTATTTCCTTTGTTTAAGAACAGTATCTGGCAGGAAACACAGCTTCAAAACTTGAATGGATGTTTTATAGATACAAGTATATTACATAATGCTGATCCACATAAGTATACTCCAGGAAACAATTTGTTCCAGGCTTGTTCTCAAATGACGACCTGTCATTTTTGTAGGTTCCCTCCTTGCAGCACTGTTAGCAATCTTTATATATCAAACAGTGCTGCAAATCATTATTATTGTTATTTCAATGGCAAGGAGAAGAAGTAAAAAAGTGCAGTTCTTCAATTAAAGTGCATGGATGAGGTAAACTAATTTCAAGAGTTTAGAGTTTATTCAGTACTGTCTCAAACTGGAACCATTCTGCCGTGCATTTGCTGCATTTGGGTTCTCATTGCTTGGACGCTGTTCAAAATCTTATTCTGGTGTGCAATGGCAGTAATTCCAATTCTTGTCAGGTCACTACATGAATTAAAAAAAAAAAAAAAGGAATGAGCCAAGAGATAAGAACTTTATGCCAGATATATATATCTATCTTCATCAACAAATAAAAAATAATGAAAATCAAGGTGAATTGATATAAATTCTTAATTACATCTCCAAATGTATTGCATTTTAATGTGTTTTAGTGAGGTTTAGTATACAAAATACAATGAAAAAAACAATTAAGGGGGAAATGCAGGATTTTTTTTAAAAAAAGTGGTTAACTTCTAACCCTTTCCAGAATAGTGAAATGCTAATGCAGCTTCAACTTTTTACATTGCCTATAATTATTACAAGCCCATTCTATTACCATACATTAAATCTTCAAACTAAATTCTAAAATTCTATTTTTTCTATTTCAAGCATAAAAATCAGAAGCAATATCCAGTGGTGGGATTCAAATATGTGAACAACTGATTCTCTGTGTGGATGCCGCTTCTGGAAGTCCATTCTGGGCCTGGGCAACAAAAAATTAGGTACCAGTTCTGCCGAAGTGGTGCAAACTGGCTGAATTCCAATACTGGCAATATCCCAATACAATGTCTGCATGCACTGTAGAATATATTTTCAAATTATATTAATTTCAATATTCCACTATTAAATGCATGCCAATGACTGACTGTAATGATGAACAATGCAAAGCAACAACAAAAAGGATACAGTTTTATACTTTTTTTGTTAATACTGCCAAGTACTTACTCTTGGTTCATATGCACCACAGCCTCTAGAGTAGTATAGCTGGCAGCTGTGAAGTTATCCTTGTATCGCTCCATTTTAATAGCTTGAAGCCAATCACCAACAGAAACAACACCTGAGAATTCAGGAGAACTTGGATCCAGCAAAGCAGTATTAGGCCTAGAACCAAATACAACAACATTGTTTTAATTAACAAGGGATTTATCTAGATTTTAAACTAGATTATACAAAAGTTATTTTCTATAATTAGAGATACAAGATTTATGCATATTTTCTGGGGGGAAATGGTCTGTACTTTGGCTTGGTGGGGAAGACTTTAAATTTACTAACTATTGAAAAACACACAATTAGTGCTGGAGCCTATCCTCAGGGAACTTCTCTCTAGCAGCACTGCCAGAGAGAAGTTCCCTGAGTCTGAAAGCTCAGAAGATAAAACCTCTGGTCTTCATAACTGACCCAGACTGGATCCTGCAAAAAAAGCTTCATTAATAGTACAAATGAGGTTCTAAGGGTGATGGTGAATTGTGAATTGTGAATGAATTAAGTCCTCACCCATATAGCCCATATAAACAAAAACAAAAACCCCCAACCTTCACCACACACACACAAATGTTGATTTAACACATCTGAAACATCAGTGATGAAAAGTATGGGCTGTCATACATTCTGGAAGTGCAGAACTTAGAAAAAGCTTCCAACAGGCCTCTTCTTGGCCAGATATAGAAGGAAATTAAAATTTCCATACAAAGCAGGTACAGCGGAGAATTAATCAATTTTAGTCAATCAGTTCCTGACTAATACGTATGCAAAATGCTAGCACTGAGCACTCACGGCTTCAATTTTTGGGTTATCAAATGCAATTTCTACTTTTTAATGTCATATAACTTTTTACAAAGTATTTTTAATATGAAAAGACCATATAGTAATAGAAACCTTTACATGCTGTGTACCATTTTGAAATAAACCACAAGAAATGTTTATTATTATTAAAATGAACAAAAGTTTAGTACTTTTGTTTATTTCAAGTGTGCAGAATCAAAAATTGCAAGCGTCTTGTATGAGAAAAATATTCTTTTTAATTTTTATCTTTGCCAATTCTTTTTGATAGCAAGTTTCAGAACAAACACGGATATCGCCTTAAAGGAACATTTCTTTGGTAGTCTGCATTGTGCAAAGCCATACCTAAATATACAAACTCATTTTTTCAGGATATTTGATGCTGATATTAAAAGCAACTTCATAACAATAAGCACTGAAGATCAGATTCTACATGACAGGGAAAGCTAAAATATTCTAAGATGTATGCTTATCAGAAAATTGGAATCAAACACTGCTGCAAGAGATTAAACACCTGATAATATAGAGACCTTCCTTCTTAAATAATAGTCGAAGGTAAATACACTTGTCATATTACAGATGCACTTAGAACAACTAGAAGAAACAAGAAAATAGTTACTTTTTAATGTAAAATGATTTTTTTAAATTTTTAAAAAACCACTTTTCCTTAAACGTGTATTGTGAGCATTTAAATTTAATACTGTTCAGCCTTATTTCTTCCCTCTATTCATTTAATGCAGCTCACTGAACTAATTTAGGGATGAAGATATGTTTCACTTTTTGAAATATTTTGTTTTCTTATTATCTTTTCTCTCTGGCTAGTCATGATACTTGTTCCAGGGGACATATGATTGCTTATGCTCTTCAGGGCAATTCTCTGTTCCTTGAAATAAGAGGTGCTAAAAAATAATATAAAACTTGCAANATTCATTTAATGCAGCTCACTGAACTAATTTAGGGATGAAGATATGTTTCACTTTTTGAAATATTTTGTTTTCTTATTATCTTTTCTCTCTGGCTAGTCATGATACTTGTTCCAGGGGACATATGATTGCTTATGCTCTTCAGGGCAATTCTCTGTTCCTTGAAATAAGAGGTGCTAAAAAATAATATAAAACTTGCAAAGCAAGACAACATATATTAGATTTCTATTAATCCCAGCTGAACAAAAGATCTCTGTATTTATTCCTGTGGCCCTGGCAATATTACTTCAGAGTTACATAAAAAGTAAGTAATAGTAATTGAAGGCTTTCCCCAAAATATTATATTAGCTATGGGTTGGGTCCAAAGCATCTGATAGACATATGATGGTTTGTGTTCTGAGTTGCTGCTAAAATCGGATTGACAAATCAGGTGTGTAAAATTTTGAAAATTTTAGATGACATTAAAGAGATATTGGAAATGCTACATCTTTCCTGCCATCTGATAGTTATCTAGATTGTGGTAGCCCAATTCTGGTAGCCTATTTAGAGAAGAAAAAATAATTACACGTTTCAACCTAATTCTGAAGCAATCTTATACTGAGCCACAACTCTATTTTAGTTGGGTAAAGTCTATCCTATTCAGAATAGCACTCAGGATTTCAAACTAATGTTTTACCCAACCCTATTTGAAGAACTATATGTAAGTTTGAGCCTGGAACAGTTGCATGAAAGAGGATCTCATGCTCTGTTACTCAAGTAAAAGTATGATTCATGAGTGCTGTTGTAGGATTGTAGGGTTGGGAAAGCCTTCTGCCAACTTCCTTCTGTGAAATTCAGTTTCATGTAGGTTTCTAGCATAAGCCCCAATTTACAATGATACAAGAATAGAGCGAGTTACAAATTATCTCAGGTGCATCCAAGGGAGCCTACTCCTTTTCTTGCTTGACAGGAAGAAATTGCTCCATTAAAAAGGCATTTAAATGAAAAAATTACAACAGAATTTTAGATTTTAGTCTTCTAAAGTCACCATTTTTCATAGAAAAGCCTTCTCAGACAAGCCAGTTGCCCCTATCAGATATGCTTGTGTGTAAATTTCATTACCTTCAGCCAATTTAACCAAAGCCTATGTTGGCTGAGAATGAGTTTGTAGTATGACACATCAGACTACATCATATTAGAAAAGGATTAGAAAATGATTTTATTTTTAAGAATTGTCCTCAATGACTATTTCTACTGGATCTGGTCTCCACTTCTGAAAAGAAAATGGCATAATAATTATTTTCAAAGAATCATGTGTATCAATCTGTCTTTATTTTTTTCAAGTTGCTTATTGATTTTTTAAAAACATATCTTTCATTAGTTGACCTTAAGGCAACATAAAACACTTTATTTTAAAAAAACTTTAAGCTAATGCATGAGAAGAATCAAATTTTTTAATATATTTTTTTCTTACTCCCTTTCTTTTCAAACTAGTTTCAACTGCAATGTGAAGGAGGACACATTGCCTCCAGAAGTTGTGGGTGCTCCAATACTGGAGGCTTTTAAGAGATTAGACAGCCATTTGTCTGAAATGGTATAGGGTTTCATGCTTGAGCAGGGGGTTGGACTAGAAGACCTCCAAAGTCCCTTCCAATTCAGTTATTCTGTTCTGTTATTTCAGATGATCCTGTGAAACAGCAGCCTGTTTTAGATAGCAACATGTATGCCTCCTTGACTTCAGATCGACTATGACCTACAGTTGTTTTTTTGATGGTTTTGGCTAGCTTCTATGCACCTACTGCTCCAGTCATTTCTTTTATATGGTCTTCCTTTCAGGCAAGCTGCTCAAACAATTGTGACTTTCATTTGGGGTGTGTGAGTAACTATGCATTCCATTTTGCTTTCTGTATTTCCCATTCCACTGAAAGTATTACAGATTATTCTGTGCATGCATGTTTGTGTTGGCTGGAATCAGGACATTTTCTAGATAGAGAATATACCAATATATTAGATACTTTCTGTAATAAAAAAAGTTCATGATCAGATGGCCAAGGCAGCTACTCAGATTTACCTTGATGTAATTATTAGATTTCTACCAGGACCTTGTGTCCATGAAAGAACCATTGGAATAGGATAGTTAAAATAAATAAAAAAAGCTTTCTGCTGCATTTTTATTTTAATACTGTGCAGATGTAAATGGTAAATATATAAAGTAAGGTTATTCTTGAAAGATTTAAATATTTATATACTATTTTATACTAGTATATAAATAGCCTGGTCAGGACTATGAAACATAATTCAGTTTAGCACAACCGTTGAGCTGAATTACAGTTGGCTGTCACTACCAATACTTTCCTTCATCTATTACCATTAGCTTACCTGGAGTTTTCTGAGCCTGTCCTCTTCAAGCTATTGGGGTTGCGGATAAGTTTGTCTAACATGTTGACAATCTGTCCAAATTTAGGTCTGTCACTACGTTCTTTCTGCCAACAATCCAGCATCAACTGATGTAGAGCAATTGGGCAGTCCATTGGTGGTGGAAGTCGATAGCCTTCTTCAATGGCTTTGATAACCTAAGAAACACAGGAAAATTATATTTTAGGAGACATTTTAATGCAGGGCAGAAAAAGCAAAGTAAGTTTTATTCAGTTTTGGCATCAATCAAAAATTCTGTTCACATAATAAGAAAGTCCCAAAGCATTCTAATTAGCCACTTGTAGTATTAAAATAATGGAAAGTAAAGTCATTTGGAATATTCAGATAATAAACATATGCCAAAATACACACTTTAAAAATGGGTTAGAGGAAAAATGGTTAGATAATAGTATAATGCCAGAAAACTTTTAAAATTTGTTAGATTGTGATAGAGTTTTAACTGTTGTGTTGCATGCTGTCCAGAGTTACATATTTATGAGACAGGTGTCTATGTAAATTTGGCAAATAAATTGTTCCAACTACAAAAAAGTAACTGCTGTGTAACCACATTCTAGTTACCTTGGTATTGTTATGAGCAAAACTTCTATTAACCAATTGATTTATGAAAATTATAAAATAGTATATACCTTGGCAGAGCCACCTATTAAGAACTCATCTATAATTTAATATGACCTAAGCATGATCATGACCATAGAACAAGGTGGACATAATTTAACTTGCATGAAATCCTAGTATAGAATAGCACAATGTGGGTAAACTATACTACTATGAAGTCTAGAGATGCCTGAAGCGTTCTACTTAATAATTGTTTCACATCAAGGCAGGAAGGGAGGTCAAATGATGTATTCAGGTCTCCATTCCAGCCTGATATCATTCAACATATTTATAAATGTCTTGGTAAAACTTAAGAAATATTATTATATAATTTTTATAACATACAATTTGTGGATGATATAAAAACAGGAGATATAGAAAACAGTATAGAGACCAGTATCAGGGTTCAGGAAGATCTTGAGAAGTTAGAACAATGAAATTAACAAGATGAATTTCTACAAGAAAAATATAACACATTTCATTTAGGCAAGAAAAATATAACACATTTCATTTAGGCAAGAAAAATCAAAGACATGATTGTAACATGGGCAAGATCATATTGGACAGAATTACATGATCTCAAGTTCATGAGAAGCCATTGTTTCTCTCCATTAGATTTTGGTCAGAGTATACAGAGAATAACTGGTCCAGTTCTGGACACTACATTTTAGAAAGGAGATTTTTAAGGAGTACAGCTATTAACATTTTTCAGCGACTGTATTAAAAGTTTTGTTGCTCCAGGGATCATTGATCTTCTGGATGCCAGTGAAACCCTGAAGAGATCAACATATAACCAGGAACCAGACTATAGTTCAACTATTGTATAATGGTTTGCGTCTCACTGTTAGTAACATCTGGCTCTTTTTAACTCACTCAAATCTGTCTGTCATGAAGTGCAGAGTGGCATAATTGTTCACTACCCTGTACCCATAAAGGCCAGCTGCAAATTATCCTACTGTGAAGTGTGCAATGTTATATGTGTGCGATGATGAACTATGGCAATATAATCTCAAACTAGTTTGCATAAAAATCACATAAACCCTTCCATACATGCATCTCATTATCATATTTGCCTATTTGGCAAAGCTACTGAGAATACGTTCATGCATAATTGAGACCCAGCTCCCAACTGTTGGGCATGCCTAGTTCACAATACTTCATGCCATCACAGCTGGCACTAATGGGCACCCTTACTGGCAGTCTTTACAGACTGAAGAAAGATTAATTGGCCACACACATTGATTCACACAACCATACAATTTGTTTCACATGAAGAGTAGTTCAGGCACAATGGCTAGCAATGTGGATTCATACTTCTACATGGCCACTAAACATTAAGAAACAGAGAAGTGTTGTCTTCCAGGTTTCTAGAAACTGCACCCTATTCAAGAAAATAAAATTAATAACTTTCCAGGACCTTATTTACATTCAAACTGAAAAAAAGATGTCAACAGTAAGCATTTTCTTCATCTAAGTGACAATTTGAAGCCTGTGAGGATTTTTTTCAAAATCTCTTCTGGTAAAGGGCATTTTTTTCAATTCAATTTTTATTACAGTCGTGGACCAGCACACACAAAAATTAAACATTAAAATAAAATAAAACTGTACAGAACCAAACAGCACAAGGCATAATAATGTATTACAATTGATGGTGGTGAAATCAATGGGTGACTAAAGTCTGCCTAATTTTACAGACAGTGTAACAAAACTTAGCTATGTTAAGAGAAACTGAATTATACTGATCCAACAATAATAGTTTTACATAGAAGTGACCCAAATTTCCAGGATATTTAATCAGGTAAGATTATAAGTTATAGAAAGGGCAATACAACAGCACATGAGCTGTGCTTTCAATGGCCCCTTGTCCAGAGGGGCACAATTCTGGTAAAAGGCACCAGAACTGCACTACTGTCCAATTAATCTTGACATTCTTTTAATTGAACAATATGGACAAAAGGACAGCATTAAATTTATTTTTCTTGTTCATAAGAATTTGTGTTTATAGAATGCATCTGATACATTTTTCCATGTTAGTCGCTTTGTTTATTCTGAGTTAAAAGTGCTGGATCATTCTGTTCCAATACTTGTTACTCTGAATGCCCTACTGTCTTAATTCTGTTACTTAAAATCCCTTATCTTCAAAGTATGCGCATGATCTTAACACAGTTATTTTATGTGTTATATCACTAAGATAAAATGTGTTCCTTTCTACATTTAACTTTTGTAGGATATTAAAAAGACACATTTATAAACATTAGCAACTTTTAACTTCTATTAATGGGTGAACCTCTTAAAATTAGTGTACTTCCAGTTGATGACCAAGACTGAAGGCAAGAAGAAATGTTGAGCTGTTTATAAATCAATCTGATAATGCTTGTTTCTTATCTCACTGGTTTGTCTTCCTTTTAAGATTGTTCTGTCATTTTCAGTCTCATTTAGAAAAACATAAATTTTACAAACTCACACTTGGAATGAAGTATTCCAGATGGTAGAGTAAAAAGAACTTACCTAATGTACAAAAGGTCATTCACTAAAACCCATTTATTAATGTATTCCAAGGATATATCTTCTGATGTTGTTATTGCATCAATAAAATTGTCAGCTCAAGATAGGAGTTAAATTCACATTAGGGTTTTAGATATAATATATTTTCAAATGAAAAAAGTTATACAGAATAAATATCAGCAATTTTGTTTCCACATTTTGAAATACTTTGTAAATGAAAACATTTCTTTTTTGATTCATGATCCGTTCTTATATTATGATTAAAACTTGTAAATTGTGTACTTAACTGCCTATATATAGACCTATATGTTGCAGAATCTGAAGGAGCCAGATATTTCAAGTTTCCTCACTTACTTCTCTATCCTGTCAACATTTCTCCTTCCTGGGCCTTTGCTGTAAAGTGTGGGATATTTTTTAAAGGCTAGATGTATGGAGGAATGAATGATTCCCTTCCTGACTAACAAAAACAGAAGCAAAGCTTATGAGAAATCCCTCCAATCATTCCGTTGATATTTTGCCATTCTCTAATCAATTTCACACGTTTCGGAAAATCTTCTGTTAAGCACTTCCAATTAGTCCCTCACCAACTTTTTTTCTGCTTTGTATAATTTGTAAGAAATTTCATCTGGTGGTATCCCACAAATAAAAATGAAAATGAATTAAGCTCACAGTCTTTTGATGTAGGTATGTGTCTTCCAAGTCCAATCTTTACAGTAATTATTCTGATACAGATAGGCTTTCATGGCATGGGTTCAGGCTTCTTGAAGCACTGTCTCATCCACGGATTGGCCCATCCTACCCATGCCGGCAGAGGAAGCATGCTGTGAGCCCTATCAGCCTGATCATTATGGTGGTTGCAGGTGAAGGGCCTTCTCTGATGTTGCACCTGCCCTCTGGAACATCTTGTCCCCCAGTATGAAGTTGGCCCCATCCTCCTGACCTTCGACAAGAGACTAAAGACCAGCTAACTTAGGGCTCCAATATGGGAACATCACAGTAGAGGTGGTTGATCGATTAACAACAGATTCTATCTCCACTCCATCCTGCACTCCCCATCTTTAATTGGATCATAGTGTTTGGCTTGATTTAACTTAATGTTTTTAGTATATTTATATTTATCTTTCATGATTATAAACTGCCCAGAGTTACCTTGTGGTGAGATCGGCAGCCAATAAATTTAACAAACAAACAAACAAACAAACAAACAAACAAACGGATAGTAGCTATCTGATTAAATATATTTAGCAAAATGTTATTTACCCCAACACAAAATATGCTCAATTAACTTCAACTATAGTGTGGTAATTGTCCACACGGAGAAAACAAATCTAGTGTTGTTTCTGGGATCCTAGAAAATTGCCCTATGGCCACTTAAACTAAGAAAGAAAAATGTCCAAGCCATGTAGCATGTCATCAGCATCTCAAGAGTTCCCAGTGTCTTGCAGAAGTTCTGGTAGCTTTTTTTCCTTTTAAAATCATTTAGATCCATGCCAATCCCACCTTACTAATTTTTCATAAACTGCTAAAACTTGATTGTTTCCCAAGTCTTGGGTTAGAATGGAATAGTCAGGATATGTGTGTATGTATGTTTGTGTGTTTGTGTGATAACATCAGTTTTCCACTTGTTTGTATTTCCTTTTCTTAGATATAGGCCGATTTCTCTTTAACTTTTTTTAAATGATAAACCACATAGGTTTATTGTGGAGGTGGATAGCCTTGAAAATAAAGTATCACATTACATCAAATAAAACGATTGTGCCAGTCTCACTCATATTCAATTCCAACTCCATGGCAACATATCACAAAAAGCAGGTCCTCTGGAGGTGACAGACACTTACATCTTGATTGGACATATCCCAATAAGGCCTCTCTCCATATGACATCACTTCCCACATGACAATTCCATAGCTCCAGACATCACTGGCTGATGTAAATTTGCGATAGGCAATTGCTTCTGGTGCAGTCCATCTGATAGGAATCTTACCACCCTAACAAATAAATCAACAGAAGCATTTATACAACTGCAGCTACTTTAGATTTGTTTATTCATTTATATAGGTTTATGCAATGTTTCAATTTTATATAATGTTCATCATTACTTAAATAAAGAAACAGGACATTAATGAAAAGATAACAGAGCAATCCCACTCCCTACACAACTTCCACACAACTTTTTCTACAAGCAAAAGAAATTAGGAAGAAAGCAGACTTAAACATGAAAAGTTCAACCACTTCAATTTTATCATCTTTGTGGTTATCTCCAGTGGTTTTTAAAATATAAGTATGTAGGCAAGAAAGATATAATACAGGTAGTTCTCAACTTATGATCACAATTGAGCTCCAAATTACTGTTGCTAAGTGAATTGTTAAGCTGCTAAGTGAATGTTGCCGTATTTTACAACCTTTCTTGCCACAGTTATTAAGTGAATCACTGCAGTGGTTAAGTTAGTGACATGGTTGTTAAATGAATCTGGCTTCCCCACTGACTTTGTTTATTAGAAGGTTGCAAAAGATTATCACATGACCCTCATATATGAGTCTGTTGTCAAGTTTCTGAATTTTGATCACATGATCATAGAGATACTGCAACAGTCGTTAAGTGTGAAAAACAGTCATAAGTCACTTTTCAGTGCCATTGTAACTTTCAATGATCACTAAATGAACTGTTATAAGTCGAGGACTACCTGGAAACATTTCAGTGGTTGGAGTAGGTTTTCAGGGTCCTGCTAAGGAAAGGGAAGCCTAAGAGCTTATGTTGGGCTTTTAATTATAATCAGTCCTTGCACAAAACTGTTTGCTTCTTTTAAGCAAAATTCAGATAGAGTTTATGATTTCCGTTGTTGTTTGTTTGTGTTGTGTTATTTGTGTTATTCTTTGCTGGCAGGGACGCAAAATCATGAAATGGTCTTACGTATTATATTGTGATAGGGTTTGGGCTTTTGTTTTATTTTTACTAGTATTGGTATTATATTGCACCATGTATATGTATATACCTGTGTGTGGGTGTGTGCACAAACACAAATGTATTGATTTATCCACTTATAGCTTCATTAATGTACTGTGTGCTCCAAGCTCTCTGAACTTGAATTGTTTTCTTTCAGACATTTCATTACGAAACTAGGCAATATCATCAGTGCTAGAGTGATAGCAGTTACCTAGTTTAATAATGAAAGGGCTGCAAGTAAGCAACCAGGCTCAGAGAGGATCAAGGACCCCACAGTTCAACCCTGAGGTAGAAATATTCTCTTCTATCAGTACATTAATATAATAAACTTGCAAAATATGGTTTTGTAAGATTAGCATTTCATTCCTATCATTAAGATGGTTGCTAGCAGGAGTTCTGCTATTGTAATCTTTCTTGTCCGCTTTTCCTGCCAGGCTTGTTTTACATGCACTAGAGTCAGAGACACATTTATCAAGCAACTCGATGGCCTGTTCACAGTCAACAAATCAGTTCAGAACTACCACTTTGGAATGCTTCAAAACATGTACGCTGCTCTAAAACTGAATAAAACATGTTGCTGTTACAATTCTAATGTATGCCTTCTTATCACCAAATGTGGGAAGAATAATGGCTGTAAACAGTACCATTCTTATTATTTGCTTTAGCTTCTCTAGAATAAACACGACCATAAATAACTATTTTACTTGCTTTAGAAAAAAAACATTAGAATCACTTTTCTTTTTTTAAAGCTCATCTGGTACAATGTGGCACATGCAAATGATTTTTATGAATAGCATGTTTTTATATTTTTATTAAAGTTTACAAATTTATTAAAGACATAAATATTAATGCAAACTAAGAAGAATATAAAGAAGAAAAAGTGAAGAGAAAAATAAAAAAAAGATTTATAAAAATGATTTCTTCTTCCTCCAAATAAGTACCAACAATTTCAGGAATTTATGAGCTTTTCTGATATTTTAATAAAATATTTGTACTTCTCATAATTCATCTATTATCAATAGATAAATTATACAATTTCATCATTCAGTCTGAATCAGCAAAAGTCCATTAAGAGCTATAGGAATATAATAAATATTTTAATCTTGATGAAATAAGTCTTCTTATATTGCTTCTTAAATCTACTTTTAAAAGCTTGATCTTTAATCCATTAAAACAATGTCCCACAAGGCTATGGAGAGTCTCCAGGTCATGGTTGTTTTTTTTCTCAAAAGGCAATTGGACTTTCTTGATTTTGGTTTTTGTTTTCTTTTGAAAACCTTTTGCTTCTCATCCAAGAAGCTTCTTTGATGAGAAGCAAAATATTTTTCGAAGAAAAAAAACCCCAAGAAAGTCCAGTTCCTTTTTGAGGAAAAAAAATCATTTGGACAATGCCCCACAAGTTGATTTCTTATCATTTTCTCTCAGAAACCCATTCAGTAGGAGTCTCTTTTGTAAATCCAAGATAAGAAAGCTACTCAAGTCATTCTTCTGATTCATTATTTGTATGTTCCCTTTTATTATTGTTTTATTATTATTAAAAGTTTAGCCAGTTTCCTTTGTAAATCCAGAGTAGCATCATTTTGCATATCGTTCTTGTAGTCTGGCATTTTAAAATCCAGTTTCAGATCCACATACAAATTAGTTCAGTCTCTATTTTGTCCATTAAAGCCTGTTTCTTTTCTGTAGCCTCTTTTAAATCCATTCTCATAATAGCAGATAATGTTAAAGAGAAATTTCTGAGCAGATTGTTCCCAAATATCCTTGAATTCTTCCAAGTGAAATAATATTGGTCCATATATTTACATAAAATCTACAAATCTACATTCCAATCAAGATTTCTTAGAATTATTTTCAATATCTTCCTATATATTTTTTGTCAAATTTTAAACAACTCACAGGAAATATTCTTTCAAGTCAATAGGGCTTCTGTTTATAACTTTCCAAAATCAACATTCTAGTCACTTTTGCTTTTATTCAAAAATAAGTTAAAAATTAAAATTCTTTTTACAGTCCTTATCTTACAATCCTTATAAAAATGTATTTCATCATATATAGAAGGAAATTCAGTTGGTGTAATGAAAATTGTGCTTCTGAAGATTGTTAACATCCAAAAAAATCATTAGCAAGCAACATGCTACAGGTGATTAAGAGAGGAAGTATATGAACCCAGTATCCATTTAAAGGCATTGAACGATGGTTTAGGTGAGATGTCTTTCCCCCAGCTCACAGAGCTCTAAAACAGTCTTATTTCATGTGTGGAGCACTTGTGGGCAATCCAGGCCCTTTCCTTAACTATAGAGGTATTCCCAGGAGCCAGTCAATTCATTGGATCCCTTTTCTGTCACAGCATCAGCTCCTTTCTCAAGACCTAACTTTGCCATTACTTTCCCATAAGTTTGATTTTTATGAATAACACATTAAGTTATATTATAACCACTGTTATAATATAACTTAATATTATAACCACTGTTAGATAAAACAAACCCAGTTTGTTTTATCTAACATTATAAATCCTGGGATGATTTTCACAATGCTTTATGCTACTTGCCCCTTTAATAAGGAACTGTGGATATATGGAACTGTTATAATCAACACATGTAAAAATGGAATAATGGCCCAAAGCCAATTAAACAGCAGTCTATATTTATCACAGCAAAATACAATTGACAAAGAAACAAATAGCTCAGGTCACTATCTAATTTTAATCACAAACACGAGGATTAAGCTGTATGTTAAAATGATATGGGAAGTAAAATACAATGGTATTTCCTGTGCCTGCCACACAAACAGATTAGAAGAAAACCATTGTAACATTATAAGAACGGATGGTGAGGTCCTGGCTTAGCTTCTATCCCAAGAAAGTGATGGAAAACATGATTAAACTAGAAAATTAAACTAGTTAAATTAAAATAAAACATGATTAAACTAGAAAATTGGAAAAAATGCCATGTTTTCAGGAAGGTGAAATTATGCCTTACCAATCTTTAACATTACTTGCAATTTAAGAAAATACCAATACAAGAAGAGCCTTACTGGATCAGGTCAATAGCATATCTAGTCCAATAATCTGTCAAGCACATCAGACAGATGAATGGGCCATGAAGGGGATATTTCTCTTCCATTGCTGCTCCTTAACACCTGTTTTTAAGCTTTACTGCCTTAGATTCCAGAAATAATCTACAGTAGTCAAGACAAAGAACCACCCACTGTTCTGTGCTCTAAGAATTTGCTGAGTCCCTTTTAAAATAATTGAAATTGATGACCATTTTATCTGATTTTAAAAATTTAATTATTTGTTGCATAGCCTATGATTTCTCCCACATTTTCTTATAGTTATTATTAAGTGAGAGATGGAAAAAACCTGCTCTCTATTTCCAAGCTATATATGATTTTATAAATCTATAAAAATTAGAGACCTAGTCTGATCTAGTGGTTCAGGCATCAGGCTATAAACCAGGACACTGTGAATTCTAGTCCTGCCTTAGGCATAAGTCAACTGGGTGACTTTGGGCCAATCACTGTCTCTCAGTGTAGCCCAGCCCATTGCACAGGTTTGCTGTGGGAAAATAAGAGGAGAAAGGAGTATTAGGCATGATGAATTTGAACTATGTATAAAAATAATAAAACAAGATATAAATAAAAAAAATCTTCCCAGAACACTTTTGTAACATAGAAAACCTGTCACATGATGCTGTTTAATTACTATAACTAGTCACCATACCAGTTCCTCTAGCCCACAGACAGATTATTCTGCCTCTCTCCCGCTCTATCCTCTTTTGGTAAATGGGCAGATGTTTACACAAAGCATTTGATTAAAGCAACCAATCTCTTTTATTTTCAGGAAATGTTCACAGGATTTTTGTGGGTCTAGAATAATCCTTTAAAGTAAGTATGATGCTCTACTTTACTGAATTTCTCATGATACTCCTTTTTTTTTTAAAGCTTTCTGGGAACATCCATATAACTATAGCTGAAAGCAAGATATTAAACTGTCATATGCTCTTTTTTGTTTAATTCACTTAAAATACATGTTCTTGTGTCTGGGATATATCTATGTCTATGTGGCATTTCATTTTTAGTATCACCTGCACCAACTCCTGGAATTGAATTGAAAACATTCAATGACTGGTGATTGGAACAGTCTTGCACTTTAATGTTGGCAGCTGCTCATTGAAATGATGAGAAAGACACAAGCACATGAGCTGATTTCTTGCACTCATGGTATTTGATACTTTGGATGGTAGCCAAGTTATAGCTTTCTTTTTCATTTATTATGGTAATGAAAAATACTTTTTATCCCTATAACCCATATGGTTATCTTGGCTTGTATTAGTGGCATTTTTTAAAAAAAAAACTATAACAATTTGAAATTAATTGTGGTTACTCAACTGTGGAACTTATCCAAACTGTCCTGAATGGTGATATCAAAACAAGACAATGTACTGTGATGCAAATTATATATATTTTTGCTGTTCCATTGGAAGGGAAAACACTTCACTATATTTGCATCACTGAATTGAAAGAAAAGCTTTTCAATCATTTCCTCCTGACCTTCTGTTTGAACACAGCTCTCTAGAAATCTGTCTTGGCTCAAAACCTCACTGCCCTTGTTAGTGGGAAATTACAGGGCTGGACAGCATTAAAATACTCAGAAGGCAGATTGCAATTTTCTCTCCCCTCCCCAGTCTTTTTAATGAACTGCATGTTCATTATAGGGGAAGTCTGAGAATTAAACAGCACAAACTAGATTTTTCTAACAATCTCTGTACTTGGGAAAACAGATGGAGAACTGCTGGCATTTAAAAGCAAAACATCTAACAAAAATTATACCTCTTCATGATAAACCTTGCACCACCTTTTATCCTAATGTGTATAAGCTTCAAGGATGTTTATGATCACCAGGATACGGCTGTATAAGGTGTGATTTTTGCCTCATTAGACTTTTTATGCAGTCAACAAAAACTCATGAAGCCACTAAATTGAGTATTGTTCCACCAGTTGTAAACATACTCATGTTCATGAAAATGTCACTGATCTCCATAAATAAGCAAACAGCACATGGAAATACAAGTTTATTTTTTCTTTGCTTTTTTATTTACTATAGTTTGGATGCTGCTCAGCTCCAAATATCTCTGAGCCACTTATATCAAGCAACACAACAATAAAAGCATTAAAATACAATAATAATCAAAATAATATCAATCACTTCTCAATCATAACAAAGATAATATTTAAAACAATATAAACTACCAAACCTCTTTAACAGAGGTAGGTCATCTTAATTATCCCTCAATGCTTTCATAAAAGCTGTATTTTCTTCAAGATCCCAATAAGAAGGGATATTATATAAATATTGACCAAGAAAGAGAAGTGTCTTTTTAATCACATGAAGCTGGAATGTCTTTAGATAATATTACATATTTTGCAAGTATACCATCTGTTGTCTTTATGAAGTTGGAAGACATATATGATAGATAGCCAGCCAGCCAGCCAGCCAGACAGACAGACAGACAGACACGGAGATGGAGATGAACAAATTTTGACTTACCCTAGTCGTATAAGCGGCTTCAGGATCGTCTTCTAGAACACGGGACATACCAAAATCAGAAACTTTACAGACCAAGTTACTGTTAACTAGTATGTTTCGAGCAGCTAGATCCCGATGAACATAGCTCATGTCAGACAAATACTTCATTCCAGAACCAATGCCTCGGAGCATTCCTACCAACTGGATTACAGTAAATCTGCCATCATTCTTCTGAAGGGAAGGAATAAGGAAGATAAATAAAAAGAACATATTTGTGATTAATTATAGGTTCTCTTTCCAACTTTTTGGATTCTCCCTGAATCCACCATCAGAATTATATTTTAAAAGTGAATAAAGACATATTTTTATGAGAAATTGCACTAGTGTCTGTACTGACCAAATGAATTCAAGCAGGCATTCGATAACAAATTGGTTCTCTCTGATCCTTTCCCTAAGCTAATTATAGGAAAGCATAAAAATATCATACTAAACATGCTCAATTTGTTGATAATTTACTTAAAAAGTGAGGTGATAAGGAACAACAATTCCTAAAAATCCAGCAGTGAGTATTCAAACAACTTTTACTGGTGAGAAAAGTAATATATTCTACATTTGAGGACTGTATTCCTCTTAGAACCAGGACCTCCTGTTGCTCAGTTCTCAAGAGGTGATGCATCTTTTAAAAACTTTCATACTGTACTACATTATTTTCTTTCTTGCCATTGAACCTTATAATTAACTGGCAAAATATAATCCTGGCTTTTTGCACTAGCTTCCTGGGATATGTGGAATGTTCCCATTTTAATTAACCAACAACAATGTGAGACTTTTAATAAGCATTTTAATCAAACCTGCTTCTGAGTAAACATGGATTATTTAGAGCTTATTTTATGGTTCATTTACCCTCCCAGCAATAGAAATAGGGAAAAATGCACTAGTAAGCATCTCCAAACATAATTCTATTTCATCTTCAAACCCCAATAGGTAAACAAAGATATTAAAGTATTTCTCGCTTTAGGTTTTATTACATGCCAAGTACCTACCCTGAGAAAGGCATCCAAAGAACCATTCTCCATGTACTCAGTTATAATCATGACAGGTTTACCTAGATGTTGGAAATAGACAACACAGAGTTCATAGATGCAGACAATTTGGTCAATGGATAGGGGTTTGTTTTTTTTTACTTTTTTAAAAAAAAATCTAGAACAACTTCCTCAGAATAGAATGAGCCAGAAAACAAATAATGTAAAAGTGTTAGTGAGTTTCAGCCAGAAAATTAGCACTTAAGCTAACTCACTGACAAGGTCTTTAACTACAGTACACATCATAATCTCCAGAGAGTATAAGAATCCATAATTGCTCACTAAAGAGAAATGGAGATGCAGTAATAGACCAAATAGGCCTATTTGCACTTGGAGTAATGTAAAGATAATTGCATCATTTGCTAGACAATTTGTATGTCTGTAGGCATTTGGCTGAGAAAAATCAAAGTTATGGTTTGAAGGATACAGCCTGTCAGCTGTAAGCAAAGATCCAGGTGTGGCATCAACAGTAATTTTCTTTCTCTTTAATTCATATCATTTTGTTTTTAATGTTTTAATCTAGCTTTATCCATTTGTTCTATCCTGAAAAGGCATGGAGAAATTAGTCAACAAACTCTACTCCAGAAAAGACCAAATTTAATACAAAGCTGAAAACTAACCTTGGGTTGTCCATAAGTGATGCCATGCTAACCATTATGTTTTGAATCCATTATTATGCAATGCCAGCCATTGGTGTATTTATTTATAGATTAACTAAACACTATTTAATTCTTAAAGTATCTTTTATGCATATTCAAACTTTTTAGAATCATTCAATGATCCATTTGCATCCATTTTTATAGAAGGTCCCTGCTTCTTTTAGATAGACTTTCTAAAGTTAAGTGCATTGACCTGGGAGGAACACAGGTAACTTTTACTTTTTAATACTAAATTTGATTTAACATATCATGAATAGATCACAAAATGGTATATAATTCAGAAGGAAGGAAGGAAGGAAGGAAGGAAGGAAGGAAGGAAGAAAGAAAGAAAGAAAGAAAGAAAGAAAGGAAGGAAGGAAGGAAGGAAGGAAGGAAGGAAGGAAGGAAGGAAGGAAGGAAGGAAGGAAGGAAGGAAGGAAGGAAGGAAGGAAGGACCCCAGTAGGATCTGCTGAAATATTTGTCTGAGAAAATTGGATCCTGGAAAACATTTTCACACTGAAAAACTGCTATAATCGTTTCTAGATTAGCATATATTTCACCCAGTATGTTGTCCTAGCATGTTGCAATTCTAATATGGTCTCTCTTTAGAAATATTTTATTAGAAAACAATATGCTATAGAACATTAATAAGCTGAAGGTTTTTTACCATTTTCATTTTAATGAGGGACACCTGCTTAATGCCAGTTTCTTTAACATGTAAACTTTCACAGCCCCTCACACTTCAGCCATTGCCAAACTATTCTATCTCCTGATCTTGTTCAAAATTTGTTTACAAGAAATATTTTTGTATGAATTACAAATCAGGCATCGATGCCCCTTAACTATCTTATTTGCATAAGAATAGACTTCTTTTTCACCCCATGTACAGAAATCAAGGACAGAGACATTAGTATGAATTTAGACATTCTGATTAGGAATTCAACTATTTAAAGACAAAGGCTAAGCAAACTCATTTGTCTTTATGTGTGAACATTCACCTCTCCTCACATTCATCACTGAAAATTGAATCTACTTAGTTCCAGTCTAGATATATTCGTGACATAGACTCTTTGCAATATGACTAAAGTCACCTAACAAATATATTTAAAGGAATTTTAATTAATTTTCTCCAATTAAAAGACATTTTATAAATTTTAAAAAGTATCATACCTTTTCATACAAATATATTAATTATTGGCTCTATTATATCTAAACAGAGGGTAGCTAATACAAGAATAAGAATAGAGACATGGATGATATGAAATTATTGTCTAATTCTGTTGAGCTTTGATTTCTGCTTCAACGTATGATATAACCTACATGGAAATGGGTGATTCAGTTTGGTTTCAACTCTGGCCAATAATTAATTGTCTAATGAAAAATGTGATATAGATTATAGAGGTTAACAAAATTACAAAATTTCAGAGAAAGCAGAAAGTATGCTCAAAACATAGCTAAGATATTTATATATTCACAAAATAGATATCACACTGGTCCCAGCTAATCACAGAATTTTTTTTCAAAAGGCAAACATTTCAGTGAAACCTTTGTGAATCCTTCCTTCCTTAACAAATTTCAAAAAGGTGATACAAAAAACATAGGAGGCATCAAAGCTAAGACAAGGAATATAGTACATATCAAGGGAGGAATTTGAAAATACATATGTGTCTTATAGTATTTTGTTACCTGGTATATTAAACATGATGATAATCTATTAGATATAGATAACCATATAATATCCTTGTAGAATCTCATCATTTATCCATATAATAGAGCAATGAAGAATTGGAGTCTGCAAGCTTTATTTAGTAAATATGGTAAATATGAAACACTAGGCATAGCCAAAGTTTCTGACACCATTTTGTTTATAGAGAGGATGTGGGAAAGGGACAGAATTATGTTAACCCCAATAGAAATGTTACTGTTTATTTCCACTATAAACCAGGAAGTCACACCTTAGTTTATTTTCAGAAGCTACTAAAATTCAGCAGCATATTTCTTGGAGTCAACTCCCAATCCAAGAGAAGCAGTTTGACAATACGTAACCAATTTAAAATTTCAACTTAACACTAATTGTGCATCTATACTACCTTGTTCCTTCTCCTATTATTTTATTCACACAAACATCAAAGACATTCTAACAATCTATATTGTGTTATAATTTCAGGATTCATAAATGCACTATATATTTACCAACTCCTAATAATTCTACAGAGAAAACTGATGTGGGTCTGTTTACTAAAACCTAGATATTCATAAAAGCTTGCACTCTAGGAAATCAGGCTTCAAAATTCACTTGTTTTGGCCTACAACCTTCTGTTGGGGATTTTAAATCATTTTAATGCAGTGACAAGTACATTATGCAAATACTATCTAGTCATTTATAACTGTTACAGCTGTAACAGCTTGGAGGTTAAAAGCCTCAGTGGGGTTTCAGTATAAAGATCCCCCTGTTGATTGTCTGGTTTATTAAGGTGATATAAAAATCACTATAGCAAACATGCTATGGACCAAACAGAAATGTCTTCTTTAATTAAAAATTCCTGTAAAATCATTAAAAATGTTATATCTTAATTGAAAATACTGTAGAATCTAGGAATCTGTTTCTTACAAACACCGGAAATTTGCTACAAAGAAATTTAAGAACTTATTCAAAATGCTGAAACTGTAAGCAATTTATCACTATATGTTTTTAAGTACATTTGAAATTCTTGAAGTAGGCAGGCTTTATAAAGAAGAATCAGCAGGATATAAGTTAAACACTGGATTTCAAAGACAATATCTTCAAAAATGTACTTACATGTCTTGCTTAGAAAGCATATTAATATTACAGGCTTAGAATAAGAAAGTAAAAAGGGGCCATTTTGGTCATGTACTTCCTGCTAAAGGTACAATCTAAAGAAAATTTCCAAAATTATAATTTGGGGGAGGCAGTCTAACACTCAGTGTTGGAGGAATTTGAGAGTTTTGAAAACTCTCCCTTCACCATAATGGTTTATAGAATTATATTTATTTGCCGATGGTAACTTTCTGCCTTTAAAAAGGAAGGAGAATAGAAGGTGATTCTACTGGCTGAATAGGAAATAATGGGTTAAATTCAGAGTTTACCTTGGTAACAACGCAGAAACAACAACAACAAAACTTCTTCTTGAAGTTGCACATACATTTTTAATTGTTTTCCTTCCACTGATAATATACCATGCCACATCCAATCTATTTCTGACTCTCAAGATTGGTTTTTCAGGGGACAAGATGCTTAGAAATGACTATATTGTTTGTATTTCTCTAATTTCATTTTTTTGCTGTTGAAATAAATTTAATTCAGTTATGATCTTCACAACAATACTTTTATTTATTTATTTTAGCTAAGGCAAGCTTCACAGATGTATTTTAGTTCTTGCCAGAAAATAATAATAATAATAATAATAATAATAATAGTAGTAGTAAAGTTGGAAGGGACCTTAGAGGTCATCTAGTCCAACCTCTGCTCAGGCAGGAAACCCTATACCATTTCGGACAAATGGCTGTCCAGTCTCTTAAAAACTTCCAGTGTTGGAGTATTCACCGCTTCTGGAGGCAGGTTGTTCCACTGGTTAATTGTTCTGTCAGGAAGTTTCTCCTTAGTTCTAGGTTGCTTCTCTCCTTGCTTAGTTTTCCACCCGTTGCTTCTTGTCCTGCCTTCAGGTGCTTTGGAAAATAGCTTGACTCCCTCTTCTTTGTGGCAGCCCCTGAGATATTGGAACACTGCTATCATGTCCCCCCTCATCCTTCTCTTCATTAAACTAGGCATAACCAATTCCAGCAGCCGTTCCTTATATGCTTTAGCCTCCAGTCCCCTAATCATCTTTGTTGCTCTTCTCTGTACTCTTTCTAGAGTCTCAACATCTTTTTTACATCGCGGTGACCAAAACTGGATGCAGTATTCCAAGTGTGGTCTTACCAAGGCATTGTAAAGTGATATTAACACTTAACGTGATTTTGATTCTATCCCTCTGTTAATGAAGCCTAGCACTGTGTTGGCTTTTTTGGCAGCTGCAGCACACTGCTGGCTCATATTTAGGTGATTGTCCACTAGGGCTCCAAGATCCCTCTCACAGTTACTACTATTGAGCAAGGTACCCCCTATACTATACCTGTACATTTGGTTTTTCTTGCCTAAATGTAGAACCTTACTTTTTTCACTATTGAATTTCATTTTGTTAGATAGTGCCCAGTGTTCAAGTTGATTTGTACTTCATTTTTCCTGAGACCAGACCTCATTGATATGCTGAATATTAACTGCCTTAAGGGAAGGGAAATATATATATATATAAAACCACATTTGTCTGATATGGAAGCAAATACATACATACATACATACATACATACATACATACACACACACACACACACACAAAGTTTTTTCAGACAGACGGCCTGATTGATTGCACCTTTGGCATTTTTGACTGCTATACTGCAGTTCTACTTTTTTATAATCTCTTTTGCCTTGCAGTCCCCCAACTAGGGGCGTTAAGCAGGCTCAAGTCGCTACTACGATACATTACAAATTCAGATTTCTTTTTGCTGACAAGATATATATAGTATATATGGAGAGAGAGACAGAGACAGAGACAGAGAGAGAGAGAGAGAGAGAGAGAGAGAGAGAGAGAGAGAGAGAGAGAGAGAGAGAGAGAGAGAGAGAGAGAGAGAGAGAGAGATTATCTTCTTTCCTTCCTCAATATCACTTTAAAAATAATGGGGAACTTTTAAACTGTCCACAATTTCTAAAAACAAACAACCCTTTCAACGTTTTCCTCCTGTTCTTTTAAAAGTTGTGGTATCATGTTCCTTGTTAAATTATGCATAAGTTACTTCAAGATAAGGTATCAGCTACAATGATAAAACCATTTACTGCTGACAATAAGATTAATGACTAGTCCTGCACTGATTTCCTACTATTAGCACTCAGTGGATCTATTCCATCTGTCATTTTAGAGAAAGAAATGCTGGAAGGAGGGAACCTCTGCACTGATTTTATTTCATAGCCCCTTTCAGTTTGTCCTGCTTAAGTCATGGCCTCATACACATTAATGACATATCATGGCCAACATACATTTAGTGACTACTCCTTCCAAGTGGATGATGTTGGGATGATCAAATTGTCCCATTATGCTGGCCTCACTCAAAAAGTCCCTTCTTTGTTTGTCTGTGTAGCCAGCTTTCAGCGTTTTGATAGCCACACAGATCTCCCTCTTTCCTGGAACCTTGAGACGGCCACTGCAAACTTCACCAAATTCACCTGCAGAAAAAGAAGCACGATAAAAAAGAATCTGCTGACATACATACATTGTTTTAATGCAATTAAGACCTTATTAAATTCCTTCCATTAAGCACTGAGAAGCTTTTGTTTGGCTTAGGCTACCTGCAATCCCAAAGTCCCTTTGCAACTTCCAACTGTGCATTTTCTGTAGATTTCATTTAGCATCATTTAAAAATATGGAGTACCATTAAAAAATGGAAAATTCAGTATTCAATTGCATTTATGACATAGAGCCATACATTTTACATCACTGTTATGTGTATTGCATTCTTTTTTCTTCCTTCTCCTCACCAAAATTAAGTGCAATCTGTGGGCACACAAAGATTGTCCATCTTAATTCAATTGAATTAAGTTTGGTTGATGATATGCCTACTTCACTTGGATTGATTCTATTATTTGCTCTTTTTACTTATTTGAAAAAATACTACAGAATATAACTTGTAAAAACAGAAATATAATAGACTTGTCCCAGTCATCTAAATTTACATGTTGAAAAGTTAAAAACTGGGTCTCCTCAGAGACACTGTAAACTATTTTATTCAAATGTCTTTGAAAATTGCCTGAAGACTGATAATAGATAGAAGAATGTTTACATAAAAAAAATAATAATAAGCCAACAATTCAACATCCCAGTAAGAATTCACCATTATAAATTTAGTGCTAACATGATGTCTTGAGCTTACCAACACCTATGACTTTTTCAATCTTTATGCATGAGGCATCAATTTCTTTGGCAAATTCCCGCACAGCTTGGTTGGGATCCTCATAAGTAAAGGGATCTACATAGGTTCTGACACCTAGAATGCAAATATGATTTTCTGAAAACTTAAGAACTACATACAAGATAGATAATATATAGGGAACGGACATTGCTGTATGTCCACAGAGAATTACAAAAACTATGTAAAGAAAATAATATGCTCAAAAAGTCTCATCATGAATACATTGCACAGATGGATGGAAGATATTAAAGTAAGATCCTATAACAGACCATACATTTGGGGGAGATGGGAAGGTGTTTTCTTGAGTTCCAACAATAAATTTGAGTTTTCTGTAACTTACATCAGGAACAATAGTGAGTATGCACATCCTTAAATTTTCTATTGATTTCTATGCTCATGTGGAAAGGACTCAATGAGAATTTAAGGAAGGAACAATTCTTATAAGTTCTACATCAGGAATGTCAAACTCGCAATGTCACATGACATGTCATGATGTATCACAATTTTTTTGCCATTGCCAGCAATGGAGTGGGTGCGGTTTTGCTATAAGGCATCCGGCCCGCGGGCCAGCAGTTTGACACCCCTGTTCTACATCTTAGAAATCTTTTCATCTATTGACCATTTAAAATCATATCTATACAAAGAAAAATTTTGCAGTAGCACGGAAAAGAGAAAATGTGAACGATTACTTTCTTTCTATGTTCAAATACTATACTAAATCATATTGCTTAAATGCCCTGAATTAACCCAACTCATTAGGCCATAAATCATGATATACATATTTTTAATAGCTTGGACCATACAATATGTTAAGAAACAAACCACATTATATCTGAAGGATACAATGTATAATTCCAGACTATATATCCCAAGCCTCAGAATGTTTTCTCAAATGAAAATCTTTGCTCCTTTTAAGTATCATCTGAACACTATGTAATAGGGTGCAGCTTTTATAGGGATTTGCATGCATATACATTTTCTATAGTAGCATTGCCAATTATGAAGTTACCCACAATAGAAATACAAATACACAGTTTGAGTGGAAAAAAAACCTCCAAATAAAGAAAACTAAGCAATAGAACTTGCAAAACATTATTTTTTGCTTTACATAGACTAATTTTAAGAATGCATGCAAGAGAAGAAAATCAAGCACTACTGACTTTTACCTTGATTTAAGTGTTTTTCTTCATCTGCTTCTTGCTTAGCTTTACTGTATTTGCTCCTTCTGTAGAAAAGGGGAAAAAGTATTTCCGATTAAAAGAATTATCTAACTAGTGGTAAATGTAGAGAGATTTCTGAATTTCTGGATTATTTTACAGTAGATGCCAACATTTATTCTGTCAACTATCACAGGGTTGGGATAATTTAAGGTCTACTTGAAGTAGACATTGCTCTATATACTTGCATTGTACTAATTATTATCTACATCTATAGATACATATAATCAATGGATATTTGGGGGAAATATTTTGCATCAGTATTTTGCTATAAAAGAATATACTTCTATGATCAGACTCATTTGTTTTCATTTCTGCTAATAAAAGAGTGTGGTGGTACATCACATCTGTGAGCTGCATTTGTTGCCAGCTGGCTTACAAATATTATTCAAGGTGCTGATGATCATTCATAAAATCTTTTGTGGCATAGTGCCTAGTTACTTAAGGACTGCTTATCTCCATGTTCTACATATCCAGTAAAATGTGGCAGACTGAATACCTTTCAGGTCTCCTCAATTAAATAATGTCAAGTGTGCCTTTTCTGATACAACACCTGCCCTCTGTAATAGTAGGGCTCCATAAGATGTTGGAAAACTGTTTATTCTCCCACACCTTGAAGTAGGATGGTGGTGACCCTTCTAATATTTGGTTTTGCTTGGCATACTTTTTAAGACAAATGAGCGGCGTGGTGGCCTGGTGGTGAAGATCCTCGCCTTCCACTTGGAAGGTTGAGAGTTCAATCCTAGGTAGCGGCAGATGTTTCCTAGGGTGCAAAGAAAAAATATCTGCTGCAAACTCCGCATAGCATCAGGAAGGGCATCTGGCCAGTAAATGCTCAGTTCCATCCAGTCACCCCTAACTCTACCCTGAATTAAAGCTTATAGGGTCATAAAAGGTTTTTTTTATTATTTTTAAGACAAATCTTTGTTCATTTACTTTATTATTCTGGCTTTTAATTATGCAAAGTATCCAGAGTCACTAGGGGTCTAGCTTTTTTTAAAAAAAAATTGTTTGTAAATAAGTATAGAGAAAGACTGGAATTAATTATTGTAGCCATCAGATTTACAAATAAAATAGCTGGTCCTTGGCTGATATTTGGGCAGCAATGGCAACTACTAACATGTACTTGATTAGGCTATTTGTACTTTGCATAATGAAGCGTCAAGACTATTCATATTATTGCAATATATGGTGTATCTTTAATCTTCAATGACGATTAAACAATAAAAAAGCAGCAAAAACAAAGAAATGTAACAGATTGGTTAAGGAAGGGATTTTCACATAGTTAGAAAGAAATAACCATGTGATCCTAACATACGTCTCCATAAATTTCTAGGATCTCAGGATTCAATTCAGGGAATGTTCTTTAAATACAAGTCTCATTAGATATAATTTAAAAAATTCTTATTTTGACACTATGGTGTTTTAGCCTTTTTCTTTCTTTTGCGTTTCTGGGAGCTGTTAATATTTCCCAGCATCAGGACATCCATAGCTATCCCAAAAAATAGTTTGGAATATGCTGGATAAATCTGCAAACAACAATGAAAGTGACAATCACTTGTAACCGATTATGAGATTTGCTATTATTCTTTCAAAAGCGTTAAGCCAGCTAGTCAGCCATGGGACCTGGGAATTCCAGGCATTGTAATCCTCACACATTTCTAAGATATCAAAATGGGAAAAGTTTATTAAACTATTTTAATTATGACTAAACAGATATTTTCTCCAAAATGAAATACTAAAAAGATGCCACAGGATGAGTAATACCAAATTTGATCCAGTGTCTCTAAAAGTGACATGAACAAAATTCATTCTGCATGCAAACTATGCTCCTGAGGCTGTGGACTCCTGTATCATAACCATGCCAAAAATTCACAAGTACATGACAGATTAAACATTATATCAACATTTCAATCAAAATCTTGACACAAACACATAGATTTCTGTTCAAATATGGGAGAGAAAAGTTTACCATGCAAACATATATAAGTTTAGTATGTATTTAATCAAAGTAAAGAAACTGCTGACTTTAATATCCTATTTATTATATATTCCTATTACACCCTGTAATGATTGGAATAAATGTTTTTATGTATTTATGTATGACACATTGTTCAGACAAAATAAACCTAATAAATATTTTTTATCGTCGATTAAAAAGAACCTCTAAAATCAAAACTCTAAAAAAGGGGCAGTTAAAAGAAGGCAGGAACTACTTTTCAGTCTACTAATTATACCTTATTAAGGTCTAACAGAGGCTTCCCAACCCACTCTTTACTTAAGTTCTCTCTTTATCACCTGTTGAGCTTTTGCCCAGAATTGGAGACTACTGGACCTTTTTGTTTTGAAAAGATTCTTTCTTTCTTTCTTTCTTTCTTTCTTTCTTTCTTTCTTTCTTTCTTTCTTTCTTTCTTTCTTTCTTTCACTTGTTTAATCATTAGTAGGGTCTGGGAAGTGCTCAGGATGCCTGAGAAATGCTGGACACAAATTGACATTTGTAAACAGCTTATCTAAATGACAGCAAAGGAGCCTTTTGTCATATTCAGCTCTATAATTATAGGGATTTGGGTGACAGTGGTTAAATGGAAGGCGGGTTCAGGAAGGGAATATAAGCACCGTGAAAAAACCCTAGGGGTCAGAGATCCAGGCAAGTCTACAGGTGGGATTTAGAGATAAAGAAAAGGTGGACCTTAAAAGTGGCAGGCACATACAGCACATGACAAAAAGTAAGTGCAAAGAGTATTAGCAGGTATTGTAAAGAAGCAGCATGCGATCCACATTCTTCTTTCCTAGTCAATGCATCAGTTTGCAATGTCAGCATTCACAGAGCAAAGTGGAAAAACAAAGACCAACAAAAACCTTAAAGAAGCTTGGATTCTCTATTGAATTAGAAGATGACCTGTGATCATATAGGTTTCCCCAAATTATCACTACAAAGCAATGGAATTCTTAGTTACTGAATCCTAAATTATTGATTATAATAAACAACCTTCAGCAAAATATCACCTAATGAGATAAAACATATTAAACTACTCAATTTCCTTTTTAAAGCAAAAGCAAAAACCTGTTACTGAACAGTTTTCCATTTCTTTTTTTGAACCTACTACCCTTTATTTACTTATTGAAAACTTTATGTACTGTCTTCCAGGGGCAATACAAGCCTGAGAATATAGTATAAATATATAGTAAAAAACAAAGATATTACAATCCCAAAAATAATACAAACAAAAAAACCCATATCTAAATAAAATCAAATACATAAGACAATCAATAGAATTGATTTTGTGATTAATGAAACATAGGTAAAATGCATGGTTTGAAAAATATTTGCTTGGTGTAAACTGCTGAGAACTTCTACTGTTTCTATTAAATCATCATACATCATACCCTTTGACAAACAGCTAGTTCATTTTTCCTGCATAATATGTGATATTAGCACTGGTATCAGAAATGCAAAGCTTTATTGAAGAAATCGAATCTTGAAACAATGGGTACCTTTACATAAAAACACAACAGCTCTGCTCTATCAGATCAATGATGCATATGAGAAAGCTAAATAAACAGAGAAGACGATAGCCCTCTGTGGATTCCTAGCTGCTAGAATTTAAAGCATGATATCTATTATTCAGGTGATATATATATTGAGGTAAACAGGCATTGATGATTTTCATCCTATTATTTTCTGAATTTAAAGCATGATATCTATTATTCAGGTGATATATATGTATATATATATTGAGTAAACAGGCATTGATGATTTTTATCCTATTATTTTCTGAAATCTCTTTTTACAAATATCTAAATTTAAGGTCAGCACAATTTATTGTGGAAATAAATTCTATAATTTAAATACTATAGCTTAAGTATGAATCTATTATACACAATTGTTCAAACCTACATGACAGAGAGGTCCAGAATATGCAAATATAAAGTAGTTAAACATTGGTTACATACAGTAATCATTATCAATAAACTGTTTGTATAATACAATAAGTATAATATAATTATAAACTAGTTCATATATAAAGTAACAAAGAAGTAAGCTATCTATAAACTCTGCATACTTCATGTTTCAAAAAAGTTGACTTCCAGTTAATTTCTTCCTCCTGTAGATTATCAACACTTTCGAATATGATATCATTGACAATCTATTAGGTGATGAACTCCATATGGCTAACATATATAGAACCATATGGATCAAATCAAACACCTATTTGATTCAGCATTTTGTGTCCAAAGTTGTCTACTGATGTCTTTAGAAAGCCATGAGCAGCACAAGAGTGTATCAACACATTTTAGTTCCTGGCACTGACAGACATGTTGCATTTGATAACTATCATGATCAATACTCATAAGCTCAGTTAAAAGAAATATTTTCTCCCACATTGTGTGTGTGTGTGTGTGTGTGCAGGCATGTAAAAAGACTAAGCAATTTAGATTACAAGTACATTTGTATTAAAACAAGAGAAGGTAATATATTAAATCTAACTTCAGAAAATAATTGTTTTTGCTTCAACACAATTTGAAAGTCTTATGTAGAAACTTTTTTGTCTTTAACAGTTTTTAAAACTTTAAACATCCGTTACAGACCATGATATTTTGTGTTTCAATTTCAGAACAACGCAATTCAATCCAATGGCCATTTGCATCCTTTTATAATAAATTCACAAGCAGTTGGGCCAAGCATCCAAGCTTTTTATAAACCACATATTTGTTTTTGTCAATTTGACGTATACACAGTTATCTGGTTTCAGCTTTATTCTGATATCAAAGAGAATAAATAGGAGGGCAAGGAGTTGACATTTCATTTTCTAACAAGTGATCCAGGGAAGTCCAATTACTTGAGTATGTTTATCTGACTTCAGAGGTGTTAATTTAAATAAAATAAAAATGAGGAAGTGGGGTAGGAATTATCTTAGAGAACCTCAACAGGGACAATTCTCTAAGGTGCTGACTTGTAATTAGAAATCCAAAGCATCTAAGTATCAATCCTGTCTTAAATAATAAAGCAATCAATAAAAGCAGGGAAGGAATTCAAGTCACTATGCTCAGCAACACTATTTTCTGTTGGAATAGCTTTTAATAAAGCTATTTCTCTGTGCTGTATTTTCATAGATTATTTTTCTCTTATCAGCATGGAAGCTCGTGAAACTGCTAAACACCTACTGAAATCTATTATGATGATGACTAGTTCTCAGTTTTTATAACTGCATGGCTTATATAACTGCTTTTCTTTTAAAAAACAGAAAAAAAAATTGAAATGATATAAGAATACATTAGAAAGTATATTATCTTATTCTCATAATCCCGGATTATATCATCCAGTTTATTTTCTTATTTTCAATTGAGTTTATTAGAAGACTAGAAGCAGATCATGACACTAAAAGATTTTTTAGTATCTTAATGTTCCAACAGAAAATATGCCGAAATAAAGCTTGAGTCACAGAGCATATGGACCAGGAAATGCTATGTTAACTAGATCTGGATATTGACCTTTCTCAATACAGTATGAATAATATAGCCTTCTGTTTTATTTACTGACTTTGGAGCAACATTTTTTTTCCCAAGAAAAGAGATAACCGGTGCCAAACACTAAAACTTAAAATTTATCATCTTGAGCCAGGGTGTTTTTATGATCACTAGAATTGTAATACAATCTTAGAAATCCTTTAGTAGTGTGAAGCCAAACTTATTCAATCTAGGAAAGTATTATATATGCATACTCTATTACTATTATTATTTTGAATGATGGGGGGAAGCTATGGATTTATCAATCCTTTTCATTGAAATGAAACAGGACATCTGTTGGAATTAATATTCTCTAATGAACAATGGAACATATGGGGCAATGGAACACGCTGCTATTGGAAATTACTTATGCAGTATAGCATAGTAATCTCTAGGGGTATGCAAAATGTTTTGAATTTGAACCATTTCAAATTTGAAACAATTCATCTTGACTTCAAAATGTCCTGCTTCAAAGAGAAAAAACTGTTTCAAGTGTGAAATAGGCTGTTTCCCTTAGAAGTGTTCTGAATTTGAAACAGAATGTTTTACTTCTGGAACAGAGATGTTTTCTTTTCAAAACATTTCCACACTGGCTCAGAGCACCCCATTCTGCATTGGAATATAGTAGTTTTTGCACTCGTAGCAGGGTGTTTCCAATTTAAACCAGAGTGAATTTCAAGCACTATGCACACCTCCAATTTTTATTTCTACAGTTTATGCATCATATATCACAGTTCTAAAACCTCATTTTTTTTTCTCTGTTCAGTGGACTACTGGGAAAAAGGTAGGAAAGTCTTGCCAGAGGTAGAATAGCTTCGTAAGCACTTTTAAAACGAGGGCAAAAGCCACATAAAATTCAGTAATAGGCTATCTAACCTTGTTTTAATCCTATCTAAATTCATACTTGATATCTATGCATTAAATAACAGAATATCAGCAGATTGTCACCTCACTGTGAATTATTGGAAATATCTTTATATTTTATTTGATTGTTTAATATTTATTGTTAATTCTTGCATGGATTCTTACAAACTAATAAATAATAGATTTACACATTTTTATTCAGCCATGGAATGGGAAGAAAAGGAAGAAAAAGGAAAAATAAAACCTGGTAATTTGATTTTGGTATAATCCGAATAAAATGTTATATACAGTAGGTTGCCTAAATGATTCATTCCAATTCCTTGGTGCTAAATGAATAATTGGTATACATTTCCTTATTAATACGACATACTATATTATTACTATTACAGTACTCATCTTCATTTGGGAAGAAAAATGGCAGAAAAATAAAGAAACATGTAATAAATATATTTAATAACATATTGTAATAAAATATATTCCTCTCATTTCCCTATTAAATTCTGGAAATGCAGAAAAGCATGGGAATTAGAAAAAACCATTGTTTAACCCACTGTTTACAATCTTAAAAATTGTGAGAGATTCTTTCACTTTAGTGGTTGTTCAAATGGTGATTAAAGAATGATGTAAGGTTTTATAGGTGTGTTTTTCTTTTAGTATCAGGAACTAATATGTATGGGTTAAATGCTGGCAATGGAGACTCTAAGACTAGCCAACAGAAGCAAAATGTGAAAGAGACAACTTTTTTTGTATACATCAAACCTTTATTCTAAAAGAAAGATAAAAAACTGACTGCAGAAAAAGTCAAGTCTGCCCTTTGAGTTTTTTCTTTTTTTCTTTCTAATTTATGTATTTTTAATTTTTAATTTTTATTTTACTTTTTTATTTATTAATTAATCTTTGTTCACATTTGTGGAACCTTTTTCCTGTCTTCTTACTACTTCCCTATCCCATTCTCTCACTTCCCTCCAGCCAGACTATCTGCTAAGAAACAGATAAATCTTTCCAGAGATCTTCTTCTACTTTACTACTCATTCCATTAACTTCCTTCTGTCCCATTCTCCACACTTAGAGAAGACTTTTTTACCCAACTTCCATTGTGCAATGCTTCTCTTTCCATATCTTCTTTCTCTGTCCATACAAATTTTCCACCAGTGGATGAAACTAAACCAAGAAAAAGATGAGGTCTTTCTTATTGCAAAAGAAAAAGAACCTACTTGTCTGCCAGCCCTAAACCTTTCACGTACAGATGGTACTGAGTTCCAAATAAGCCGTATTTCAAAGAAATATTTTTTTATTTATCTAATATTTCCCCTTTTTGCTCTGCCCAAGAAGAACGCAAGATAATTTATGCCCTGAATAAACAAACAAAAAAACCTTTCACCTGTGAAAGTATGAGTAAAAGCTTTCTTTTCCTAGACTTTTAATTTAACCTGGCTGGTTTACCCACTATGGAATATATAAGTGTCTTCTATTGTGTTCCTCACAGCTAACAACAGCTGATGTGGCCAAATGCAGAGGTGATTAGAAAATCAAAAAAGGCATTCTTTTTACTGGGTATAAGCTCAAATACAGGAGCTTGTTTCATTTCATCTCCCCAGAACTCCTCCTCTGGCTTGGCACTCTTAGCACAGAACTCATCAACCCAGAATAATGCATTCATTAAATTCTACATCAAATTACAGTCTCTCTTCAGATCTCGTTGCTGGCTTGCATCTTAAAACCTCCCACCACCACCCCCATAGCTAGAATTGGTTTTGCATCTGAACAGCAAATAATTCTAGAACAATTACCATTACATTACATGCTGCTGTGGTACTGATGCTGAGAAGATCAAAGCAACACAGAAGAAGTCTTGTGATGCAAATGCAGTGTTTATGATGCTAATCAAAGAATTTAGCTTTGTTTCAAGGAGGCAAAAAGCTCCCTCATGAAAGAAAAGGAGAAAGAAGGGGAGCTTAAAACCTTACCTCCTACTGATGACAAAGGCAGCAATGAGAATGACCACGAGGACAACACTGCCAGCCACTGAGACCAGAAGGACGGTGGGATTGGTGCCTTCCCCAATGATGGGAGAAGGAACTAGAAAAAAACACACACACACAATATTTGTTAAGATTCTGCAGCAGTTATGCCACAGATAAGAATAGCACAGGATCAGAGAGTGAGGTATGTGCAGTTTATGTGAAGATAAAGGCAGTTCATGACTTTGTCTAGAATTATTCTGTCACCTTTTCAGTAGGTATTCATTCTTAATTCTTTTCCAGGAGAGCCCTAATTAGTAAAAAGACATTATGCTCCACAATGAATTTTGGGAGAACTCTTTGGTTTTCTCCCTTCACTTTTACTCTTGAGAATATAATGGCTGATTTAGTGCCTGCTGAGCTGCTTCCCATTTTATTTGATTTAAAATGGACCAGATGCTCATTCCTTGACTATGAACAAGAGGAAGACTCAAACAGAACAAGATGTTTTCCACTGTCTTCAGCGGCATAGAGCACTTCACATTTTCACATGCTCTGCCTGAGGGTTGTTAACACTGAACAGCACAACCTGAACTGATTAAAATTTCTTCATGCAATGAAAATTAAACATCCAATCTCTCCTGTTATTTCAAGAAGCAACTATGTTTTTTTAACATTTGTCCAACAGACACACACATGCACAATATTGACATTTTATTTCTGAAATGAATTGGAGAAGAGAAAAGAATAGCTAGATCTAAAACAGTCCCTAATTATATTGAACAAAGTTTTCCTCTTTGGCAGAAAGGCAGCAGAATGGCAGTTGGACTTGATTGTCTGATTGCTGGCGAATGAATTAGAATAGGAAGGAAGTGAAGATTCAAAGCTGTTAGCTACTGGCCCATCTAGAATGATTACTTCATGGGAAAAAGTTCTCTAGGGTTTCATATCTTCTCATTCCTAAATGTGCTATACAACAGAGAAAGCCCAAAGTATATTGAGGCTTGAAGTCAAGAATAAGTCGACACCCTCATCTATCCAACATGTATGCAAACTGATTGGACTGACAATTCATAAACGACTCATTACTATTGTTTTAGGGAACTGTGCAGTCAGGAATATTCAAAAGTTCCATGTCAAGTACAGAAATATTTAGAAAAGGAAACCAATTGTTACATTTAATATAATTTATAATTGTCTATGGAACCCGACTTTTAGTATACTTTGCAAATCTACCATTAATTAATAAATTGAATAGAAAAATAATATATGTTTCATTAAAATATTGAAAACAGTTTGCCTGTACTATAAAGATAACAATGAATGTAAGTAGAGGGGTAATGTTATTATTTTATTTCCTCTCTTCTTGATAATTTCCTTGTGGCATTCTAAACATAGGAACTCAAGTTTATACTTATGTTTGGAAGTTTTAAATCCTGAAAACTTCCAAACACAAATGACTCAATATAATCCAAGGACCTATTACTCTTTTCACAAAAAAGTAGATATGAGGATGTTGAAATTAAAGCCCTATCTTTCCATCTCTAGTAATGTTAGTGACATGCTTCTTTTTTCTCTCTTTTCCCATTGCTGGAAAAGGTTTGTGAGTATAATGTGGACAGAGTAAAGGAGACAACATCCTTGCATTTCAGGCACACACAAAAGAGCACACTTCCAATTGGACTCTTGGTAAAAGCAATAAAAACAACAAAAACACATGAACACAGAATCCTTTTGTTTTCTTAGTCAAAGCTTGGTAATGAATTCCAAACCATCATCAACAAATCATTCATATTCAACTCAAGTGCATACAATAGGCTTTTGAAATAGTGACAAGGGAAAATGCCTCCATTACCACAGTGAGAGATCTATTGTTATTACCTGTGTTGGTTGTGAATTCAAAGGGTCCACTGAAGTCTCCATATCCAGCTGCTGTCCTTGCTCGCACATGAAAGACATATGAAGTCAAAGGATTCAAACCCTTGATATCAGTATTTCTGGTTGCTGTTTTCACAATGCGATAGCTACGCTCATTTTGGTCCTAGCAAAAAGAAAGAAACATAAAAAGGAGGAGGAATGTGAATAAGGAGGTCTCCTGAAGGTCTTGGATCTTTGTATTTTACTATTAGGAAATATAGTCACATTTAGATAATGAATGTGATTTTTCTTTTAGTGTTTCTATTATCAGCTTTAATGACATGAGTGTTATGGACTTTTATATTTTGTCAGAGGATTTTTCTTGTCTGAAAAAGCAAAGAGAATATCTATAATTTAAGCTCTGCTGGGAAAAAAGGCAAGAAAGAATGTTTTGGGGAAAAAACAACAAAGAAGTTGTCATCCTCTTCCTGATGAACTAACAATGTTTTATTTCTAGTACTCTTTTCACACATTCTCCTTTTTTCTTTGCAATTTAGAACTATAAGTCCTAAAATAGCTGAAGGGATGGCTGCCAATCTTCTCCAACTTTTTTCTGCTTTTCTGCTGGCAAATACCTCAAGAAAAAAAAATACTGTAATCTTGTTCCAGGAAAAATCTACAACTCATTTTTGATACAATTAGTAAAGGAAATAAAGTGATTATATTAAAAGAAAAGAAATGGAAAGGGAGAGAGAGAGAGACAGAAGAAAAAAGTAATTGTTCATTTTGCAGACAACCTTGAGAGGAAATAGATCTTTTTATAGTTCTGAATTGGAGGAGCAACAAATTATATTATAGAAATAACAATTCTGCACAATTTGGAAGAGGTGAAGAATGTAATTTTCTTTTCCTTGTTTCCTATTAAAATTTATTAAACCCCCACTATCATTCTGGGCAAAAGCTATCAACTCATACAGAGTTCATTATTATTACTGTGTTATATTCTTCATTATTACACATCTATCTCTGTTGTAAGGCTAATGTTGCACTGATTCTATGTTCTATTGATTCTCATTACAAATAGCCTCATTATGATCAGACAGTTCCTAGAAAAAGAAAAAGTGCCACCACTATTACCCAGTAAGAAATATATATATATGCAAGTTGTTATTCAGTTCAACTTCTTAGATATACAAACTGTCAAAATGGGTACGATTATAAAAACATTTTTTCCTAATAAAGTCCATTTATGTGATGATTACTGTGGATTTATTTGACTCAGCATTCAAACATTATGGTGAAATGTCATTTATCCATAATTAATAATAATACCTTTTCGTAATATTTGACTTCATATTCCAAGATGACTCCATTTGGCCGGTCAGGTTCCAGCCAAGCCAATGCCACACTGTGCCTTGTTATTTCCTTAGCTTGGATCAAAGCAATTTGAGAAGGAGCTGTTAATAAAGAGAGATTGGGAAATGTCAGACAATGTTCTCAGAAGAAGTCCAAGTATTGAATGATGTTGGAATGTTTACATTTTTTAGCACACACATATATCTTGAACATATCAAATAATACAACTCAGAACAGTTCTAGCTTTAGGCATATTGGCATGACCAGCAGATTATTAAAATAGTATTTCTGCACTAAATTATATTTTAAACCCCAGGGCTTTGATGGCTCCTCCTTTCTTGTTATGCTGATTTTATGGCCTTATGCCAACTCTCTATTAGTACAAGTATCTTAATGAAGTTTTTCAAACTCTGCTGGCAAAGGAAAATAATGAAATATTGTTGAGTGACATCAGCAGTATAGTTTAATTGATGAACTATATCTGCTGATTACATCAGGAAACTGAAACTAGCAAAAGCATCTATGCTGTGAGGAAGTATTAAATGATATCACACACACATAAGATAATAGGTTGGTGAGATGAAATTTATTTCCTCTAAATCAAGCATTATTTCAAATCATTGTTCTACAATGATTTCTGTGTGTCCTTTCCACTGTTATTCTATCTTCTGCCTACAGAAATTGAAGAAATCACAGGAAAAACCAATGCCAAGAAAAGCATTAAACCTTATAATTGACACTTGTGCATCCACATGGAAGGGCAAATGGAGAAGTAACATGTTATGAAGTATGATATCATCATACAAATGGAAAATTATGTATGTGTTTTGAATCATGATACATCTGATGCAGATTACACAATTTGCATCACAGGTGTATTGGTGTCAGGCCACAAATGATGGCATTGTGGATTTTACTCACAACAATTTTATATGATCTAAATGTTTTCCTTCTCTCATATTAACTAGCCAGGTTTTCAAAGTTTTTGCTGGTGCCCTTCTCACACTATCTGCCATTATCAGGCAAGTGGAATCATCAGTAATATCAAGAAAATGATATAGAATTCTTGTGTCCCATTTGTCTAGACAAAAGGTTATGAAGTCCCTTTTTTCTTAAAAATGAATTTTAAGCAACAATAAAACTGTATCCGATGTAGCGAAACAAGTTATTTTACTTGCTGTTTGATTATTGATTATTTTGATTACATATCTTATGTGGCACTTGGGACAGAGATCATGGAGACAATATAGAAATAGTCCAAGTATTTAAATTTGAAGTGATTTTAAAATCAAGACGTACAGAGATGCTGTCTTTTATTAATCAAAAAGCTTTCTGCATTATACATATAAAAAAGGGTTTTTATTTTTTGAGATTCTTTATGGTTTTAGTCTAAGTCTAATCAACAGAAGTACCAATCATAATGACCAATATTTACAAACATATAAGCACAGAACTAAAGGCAGTTCACATGTAACATCTATTATTTTCTTCACTTCCCACCTCAATACCATAAGCTGTCACCTCTTCTGAACACAGGAGCCAATTTACCTCCAATTCACCTGTGCCTCAGCAGGAAACATACTTAATACATTCATATTTAAAGTTGGCTTTCCAGAATTAAGGGTGGACCTGTTTTCCATTCGCAAGGACTCTGCCTCCCCGTTCTTAGGCTGTCCCATTTCCCTGCTAAGACACTAAGCTGCTATACTTCATAGTAGCGTCTTAAGGTGTCTTTCATTTGTCAGACAAGAGAATGACTTGGTAGTTCAGCAGGTTTCCAACAAACCTCAAATGACAAACCTGGACATGGGTAAAAGAGTAAGATGCTAGCCATTTCTTGTGCTTGCCTTTTTCTCAGCTGTATTTCTCATGCAATGTTAATAATACTTCAGGAATGGCAATGCTGAGGGAAATTGCAGTTTTAAAATGTGTCAATGGGGTTTAGCAGTAGAAACTGTGACCATGTGGAAGTGTCCAAGACAATTTATTTCACCTTGATGTTTTTGTCTCATTTTCACCCCTTTTCCAAAAGAGAATAGATTTCTTGACAATTTTATCAGTATTATAAAACTGATTAAATTCTAAGCTTTCTTTTGAATTGTATTTTTAAATGCAATACGGAATGCTAAGATAAAACAAACAATGGAATAAATAAGAAAGAAATGTCTCAATAAAAGCTTCTGAAGGTCTCCTTAATGGTATCATTGGTGCCTGAACTTCAGATGTTTAAAAGGCCAGAGGACAATGCTGTTTCCCTTAACTATGACAGAAACAGATTCGTAGTCCTATTGGACGAATAGGCTTTCAGAAGATTTATGATTCAAGCTGCCCGGTCCTTATTTTTCTGTTACTGTGTGGTCATGTCTCTAGCCAACTGTTATCAAGTCCTGCCACAACTGACACAGCTTTGATACAAATGGTGGTGGTCTCCAGGGAAGAACAGATTTTTTTTTATCTTATCAGCAAAAGCTGTGCTGTATAGTCAGAGATTAGACAGCTTTCCAAATTGAATATATTCCTTCCTTTGTTCCTAAAAAAACGCCTACAAATATGCAGGTGCTTATTTTTGAAACAAACAAAACAAAATCAGCAATCAACAACCGTCTGAACATTTATTAAAATCTTTCAATGGGAATTATAATATAAATACCTCATAAAAAAGGGAAAGAAAGAAAGAAAGAAAGAAAGAAAGAAAGAAAGAAAGAAAGAAAGAAAGAAAGAAAGAAAGAAAAAAGATCCAAATCTAATTAAATTTGTCTCTTGTTTTATGTTATTCTATATAATTTGTAAATCTCAAATAACACTTTAAATAACTATAAATATATGTCACAAGGAATAATAATAAAAATTGGACATGTAAACTTCAGAATTACTTGACAGTCCTGATGGGAAAAAAACTAAACAGCAGGCACTCTCTGTCAGGAAGATTGTTTTCTGATCTACATTTTGACAGTTTGGCATCTCTGTTAAAAATTATTCTGGAGCTTTGCTTCTGCATCCTTCAGCACATCTGCCAATCTGTCTGTTTGTTCCTTACCCTGAAACTTATGTGCATGAAAATATACTGAGTGACAGAAATAGGAGTGGCAGGATCCATTAAAATGGATTACATCAAGGTATTTACATGAAGTAACCAGTACCAACAAATGGAATAACCCTAATTTGATAACCCAGTTGTGACCTTAATACAAGGACAAACCTTTTTGCATTTATTTGCAAGTGTCAACACTCAATGAAATAAATCTATCATGCTCTTCAAACAAGAACAGATTAGTGACAATCCAGCCATAAAAATCACATTTTCCGGTTAATCAGTATCTCTTGAAGACCAGTTGGATTATTCTTTCATATTGAACATTGAACAACTGATCCCGGCAATCTCTGAGAGAATTTCAGTTTTCTTTCCCTCATCTCCACATACTGTGAAGTGATATTCTGAAATATTTGGGCTGAAAGAGTTTACTCCTGATACCAGGAGAATCGGGTATATTTCAACTGCAGCCAATTTGATTTTAGTATTATTGGAATCATGGGTTACTAAACACAAAGGAAGATGCCTGGATGAGGAAGATTTATTGAAAGGTTCATATCTACAGTAAAAGTACTGTGCTGTTCATAAGCAAACATGACCACAAAAGCTCCTTATGTTTATGATTAAACTTGTAACTTCTTCCCATACAAAAAAAATAAAAAGGTGTTCAACTCATTCTTTAATTTGTTTCACTTTCAAATATTTTTTTAGCCCATCTTTTCTGAGGGAGCACTTGGCCCAATCATCTAGCTACTATCCACTACTATAAGTCACTTTAGAAGTAAATCTTTTATGTGCAAATGAAACATTCTATATTCTTTCTATATTACTAAAACTTAAAAAATATGAAATCCTGTAGAATGTCAGGCACTGGTGATACCACATATTTAGTAGAACATCCCACTTGGCTATACTTGCACCTGCCTACACTCATGCTATGCTCAGCTACACTTGCACCCTATACCATCTAGCACCATGGCATACTGTCCACCCCTTGCCCACCTGTTAACCTGCTTTTGAGTCACCTAAAGAAAAACTTGTCCTGACCTGAACTTCCTGCAAGTCCACACTGACTTTGTTTTCTGGAAACCAGCAGGAACCAAGCTGTGGTCATATGAGGTCCTTGTTTAATGACTGCAATCCTCACTTAATGATGGCAATGGGGGACTGCGGGGATTGCCATCTTGATACTGTAAAATACCAGAAATCTTTTTATAGCAGGAGACGTCTCTCATTCAATCTATCAACCTCTGACAAAAGGATTTGATATCAGGTATGAGAATTCCCTTCTGATGGTTAAACCACATATAACTTTAAAATAAAACAAAATAAAGTAGAAGGAAAAGCAAAAACATATGTCCCTTTTTTGTTTTAATCTAAAGATATCATGTGGGTCTTTATCCTCTGTCAACATGGAAGACACCAGTATGCTCTCTTACTTCTTTGAATTACACTTTTCCCAGCTTGAAAAACTGTCTAGAATACCATCTATCCTCTATGATAGCTCTTACCATCGTGATTATAGCTCAAAAAGTTTTTAAGATAGAAGATTTGATTGTTCCTATCCCAGCTAGGAAAATATTTCATGACTAGAGTGGTCTTCATGCCTAATTAAAGACATAAAATGCTAAATCAGCTCTTTCTTCCTTCCATGAACTTTTATCGGAGGTCCACAGATCTGAAAAAGACTGCATGTTAATTTCTATAATACTTCTTCTTTTCCTCTATATAAGAAGGAACAGCACTAAAGATGTGGGAATTAAAATTCTTCTTTATGTTTAGTCCTAGTAAATACCTTCCCTGATCTTCTGAAGAGCTTTCAATGGCGTTCTTCAACAAATAAGTTATTTTCTATAGATGGCTGTGGTTTTAAATTTTAAAATGAAACCTGCCTAGAATTCCAACAAGAATTAATTTTCTTCCACCATAAATTTAGAGGGACAGATGCTTGTGAATTCCAACTAGCATGCAGTATTGGTGGGTGTTAACAATACTGGTAGGAATGACAGAGATAAGCATAAATTACCATGAAAATATTGTGTCATATCACAGCAGTAGCTACTACACTGG